TAAACAAAATAGCGGTGTGAACAACCAAAGGCTCATTTTTCTAAGCAGGATTGAAAAGTCATGCTAGCTGAAGCAAAGCCCCTGACCTTTGCTGCCTCTATTAATCCCCAACAGTGACCTTCCCCCACCTTCTGTGTTAGTGGTGGAAACATAGGTACAGTGTTCTAACCCTCAAGATAAGCATCTAAGCTGAGAGCTTTCAACCTCCTGCACTGGTTTGCAAAGACTGCTCTTCATTAGGAAGTGTCCTCACCAAAAGGACAAGAATGTAATTAGCAAACCCATGATGAGAACCGGGGAGTTTGGCTGGCAGGTTTTTCCTTTAATTACACTACTTCTACACCCTCCCCACATACACTTCAGAAGTTTTCTATGTCCAGCCCTTGTACTTGGGAAATCATTGACCCTGGTTTCGTCCTCCTCTTTGCCTTTTAAGGATTTATTTATTGAGCATTTGCTGCAGTCAATAAATAGGAGATGCTCTATTTCCATTTTTTATCTTATAACCTTCGCAAGCTTAGTTTATTACAGGAAATGTGATAGCAATAAAATATTGCCTTTTTTTTTTTAGTCTGCCTTACTTTAAGATTCTCCCCCCCCCCCCATTAACGCTTGTGTTATTGTCAAAAATGTCTTTGTTTAAGTGGACTTCCTTTGATCAATTGCTCCTCAATTCATTCCTAGTTTAATGAGTTTCTAAACATTCAGTTGCTTCCAGTTTGCCCACCTGCCAGCAGTACAACATCCAGGAATTCACAGGACAGATTCTTTTATTCACTGCAAGACTCATAGGAAAACATGCTTAGGAAAGAGAGGTTCCTTTAAAATAGGTTTGGGGTTTTATAGAGCTGCAAGTGAGAAAGAAACACCTCATTGTACAAGCAGGATGATAATAGAATAGCATTTGAAACCATCAGAAAATAGCTCATAAAAAGTTGTGTCTAATTCTGCATCCTGTATTTGTTAAATATATTTCTACCCTGCTTTTTAACCTTTAAAAAGCCTTCTAAAACAGCAAAACAGTAAAATCAACTATTAAGTAAAATAATTTTCCAATTTTCCAAAACTAAATGAAATTAAACCCAAGGTTAAGACAAAGGGAGAAAGAGACAGAAGGAAGAAACAAGTTAGATCATAGCAAAAGTCAAAGTAAAAAAATCTTACAGCTGCCAATTGTTTCTGCGCCGAACTTGGAGAAATAGCTGGATACAACTAACAAAACTTAGGAAGTGTCATTTTAAATACATATGTTTTTCTGAATTTTTGTTACCAGCCTTTGGAATTGATCACAGTTCATTTGCATCTCTGCCTAAAACTAATCCTGAATTGTTTGCTAAAAGATACTCCCTCATTATGCATGTAAATTTACATGGGAAAATTAGCATTTTTAATCTGGTTAGCAATAGAAACTTTATCTTTCAATTATTAACCTTGGTAAGGTTCTGACTCAAAATGAATGGATTATGAATTAAAATGTTGTTTGTAAATGTGCAGAATTCTTCTCTAACTATAAAAATTTACTTTAAAATATTAGCTTATAAAAAAAAATCTACTTCCCTTCAAATTCAATGTTCAGATATTTGCACTCTATATATCGGAACTAGTTGTTCTGAAGTCAGGGTTGATAGTATACTAAACCTTGCATTCACTTCTCTGTTTTCTTTTTCTTTTTTTTAAATAAATGAATGCTGTGGAGTTGGTTTAATCACCATATATGGGAAACTTTCTCAGAACAAATGGAGGTGATTACTTTAAATGCAAGTTGCCTGCGCTCACTTGATAAACAACTTAATTCCTCAGGAACCCTGTTTCTAAGCCTCCTTGTATTCCAATCCCTATTCTCCATATTTGTATATAAATGATATTTGTGTATTATTTTTGATGGCGTTCCAGTGTCTGATGTTTTGCATCTTACAAACAAGCTCACTTTTGCAGAAGTGACCCAGCGGAGGACTTTTGATTATTTCTCGTAGCTGTTTAGATAAAGAAATTCTGTTGGCAGTTAAATGTCTCCGTGTGTCTGAATCAGCTTTCTCTTGGTTCCCAGCAAGATTAGCAGTGATCTGTGCAAAAGCCTGCCTTTTACCCTCTTTGATCACATATTATTCTTAACAAAAGCTTTCATGTCTCCAGTAAATGTTAGTGCTATTTATCAAACTCATCAAGTATTTATTTGTGAGAATTTACTTTGACTTCTCGATTGTTGAAAAGGCTTGAGATGGACAATTATGGCTTATTGTTATATTTAAATGTACAGCTTGGAGGGACTGGTTTAAATGTGATGCTTTTAATCTTATATATCCTTGGGTAAATGTAGGGTTGTTCTGTGGTCCTAACACATCATTCCTAGGTAGTTCCAGTTGTTTCATATATAGTGGTGTGTAGCAAATATGTGAAGTCTGGAGAAATATAAAGCATTTGTGGGAGAATTTAGTGAAATTTAGTGATTTTTCTTTCTGAATGAGCTGTCTATGGAGATTCTCAGTCATCCAGGTCGTGGTTGTTCCAAAGATGCTTTTTTTCCGAAAGGCAACTGGACTTTCTGGTTTTTCTTTGAAGACATTTCACTTCTCATCCAAGAAGCTTCTTCAGCTCTCTTCTTCAGCTGTAGAAGCTTCTTGAATGAGAAGTGATATGTTTTCAAAGAAAAACAAGAAAGTCCCATTGACTCTTGAAAAAAAGCACCTTGGGACTGCAAAGTGTCTTTGAAGACCTAGAACAAGGGTCTTCAAACTTGGCAAGTTTAAGACTTGTGGACTTCAACTCCCAGAATTCCTGAGCTAACATGACTGGAGGATGAATTCTGGGAGTTGAAGTCCACAAGTCTTAAAGCTGTCAAGTTTGAAGACCCCTGACCTAGAATAGTGTCCATTTCCATGAGTTTGACTCAGTCTGGGAGAGAGGATTGTTTTTACCTGTCATAAACCCCTCTTTGACCAAGTTTTATTCTGTGTAAATCTGCCACCTATCAGATTACAACAAAAGGAACAAAGAAAAATGTCTTCCTTTAGTACAATTTTCTAGAACAAGGCTGTTTCATAATTGTTTTGGGGATAGCTTGATTTGACTTGATTTGATTGCAGGACCTTTTTACCCACCACTGTGGCATATCTTTATTTCATAAGAAGGATACAACTGTTCAGCAATCCTCAATTTTTAAGGCTGGTGGCCAGTGGTGGGATTCAATTTTTTTTTACTACCGGTTCTGTGGGCGTGGCTTGGTAGGCATGGCTTACTAGGTGTGGCAGGGGAAGGATACTGCAAAATCTCCATTCCCTCCCCACTCCAGGGGAAGGATACTGCAAAATTCCCATTCTATCCCCACCCCACTAACTTGTTTTCCAACTCTGTTCTCCTGTGCAGGGCAACAAAAGAAGACCTAGCCAATCAGCTGGCACTTGGGAGTCAGAGACCAGTGGGCAGGGCCAGTGAGAGGTGGTATTTGCCAGTTCTCCAAACTACTCAAAATTTCCACTACTCTCCAGAACTGGTCAGAACCTGCTGAATACTACCTTTGCTGGTGGCCATATTTGGAATGCCAAGGGCATGTTGTGCATTCAGGGGTGGGATTCTACTAGTCTGCACCTATTCGCTAGAACCGGTTGTTAACATTCTAAGCAGTTTGGAGAACCGGTTGTTAGAAGAAATTACTGGCCTAATCCTGTAAGGAAGGCAGGAAGGAAACATTCTGGTGTTGCTTACAGAAACTGCCTCTCCATTAACTCTTATTACATTCTTGGCAGGACTAGACTTCCTGTCTCAGGAACTTATTTGGAGTTTTTTTTCCTTCCTTTGCTGGTACTTTGCTTGTCTGGAGTGACCATTCAACGTTACAATGGCACTGAAAAAAGTGACTTATGACCATTTTTCACACTTACGACTGTTGTAGCATCCCCACCGTCATGAGTGGCCATGTGAGGAGATGTGTGCCTCGATGTGAGTGATGTTGAGTTGACCATGCCCAGCCAGTCACATGACCACAAAGCCATGTCCACCCAGTCAGATGACCACCAGGACATGCCCACCAACTAAGCCACACCCACAGAATCGGTTGTTAAAAAATTTGAATCCCACCCCTGTGTGCATTCATTCATAAAATAGCTAACATAAAGAAGGGGTCTAGCTCATTTTGAACAGTGACTACCATGGTGACTTTGCCACCGATGAAGAATTCATTGACTAGAAGACAAATGGGTAACACTAAAAAGTAAGCAGTAGGTCGCTCAAGAATAAAAGTAGAAAGTAAAGGTGGGATCTGGGATTTTCGCATGTTCATATCCACAACATTAACAAAAGAATATTTTCACAGAGAAAAAAAAAACTAATGTGTTTGCACAGTCAACAAATATACAAATATATAACAAAACAAAAAACAAATTAAAAATATGCTTGTGTGTCCAATCCCACTTGGTCAATAAAAAATTCTATTCTATACAGGCAATAAATATTGCATATAGGCACAAAATGTAGCGAGCCAAGCACAGATAACATTTCCAGCCCCCACAAATCATTGCTAAGCTTATTGGTCAGTGATGCTTTGCTATCCAGTGTGACAGTTTCTTTTTTATTTTTTTAATTGGTTTTTTTAAAAAAAAACATCCAGTGGAACAGGCAGCCAGATAAAAGCATACATTGTGTCTTTGTTGTACTAGCCATGAATTAAAATTTCCCTAAAACTCACAACAGCAAGCATGACATACCTTGTAAAAGGATTGATTTGCTATGGAAAAGTGATGTGTGAATGGTAATAGCAATCTTGGTTTTCTTGGTTTTAAAAACTGGTCCAATGCAACTTTTCAATGCAATTTTGCTTTCACAATCCCTTGTAGATACTAAATATCAGTTTTTACCTTTACTAAAGCTGATTAAGATGGTGAAGGAATCATATATGTATTCTAGATAAATATCAAGTAATTTGTAAAAAAAATATCATCTTTGTATGAGAGAAGCAGATAAAATAATGTTAAATAAATAGTTGACATATTTGTTTTCTTTGATAGCTTTCTGGAGACTGCAGCATATTTCTGTATGAAACCAAAAATGGGTGAAAAAGAGGTCTCCTTGAATGCTTTCTTCAGCATATGGCATGAATTCAGTTCGGATTTTAAAGAATTTTGGAAAAAAGAAAATAAACTTATTTTGCAAGAAAGGTAAGTAACATCTAATCGATTTAAATTTGTGAGAACATTTTGGGAAGTTTAGCCTGGATATTCTGACTGAGGGGAGGGGACTTCTTTCTTTCTTTCATGCATTTCTTATGTATGGAGTCCTCAACTTATAACCACAACCGAGCCCAAAATTTATGTTGCTAAGTGAGACAATTGTTAACTGAGTTTTGCCCCCAATGTACAACCTTTTTCGCTACAATTGTTACATGATTCACTGCAGTGGTTAAGTTAGTAATACAGTTCTTAAGTGAATCTGACCTACCCATTGACTTTGCTTTGAGAAGGTCACAAAAAGTTGATCACATGTTCCATGGACAATGCGGCAGTCATAAATATGAACTAGTTGCAAAAGGTGATCACATGACCTCAGGACACTGCTTACCATCAAAAATAGGAGTCAGTTGCCAAGGGTCTGAATTTTGAACATATCACCATGGAGATGCTGCAATGTTTGGGTGAAAAGGGGTCATAAGTCGCTTTTTTCAGTGCTCTTTTAACTTTGAATGGTCAACTAAATGAGCTGCTGTAAGTCCAGGACTACCTGTATTGTGACTGTTTACAGACAGACAATCTTGGTTGTAACTCAAGAAAGCAATAGATAAATCTGAAAACAAAAATAAATAATAATGGCTGGTAGGCTTACTGCCCTTTAGATTCTGTCATTATGAAAATAGTAAATGTACCGGAGCATTTCAAATTCTAGCAAATTTACTACAGTCTAATTATTTTGATGTTAGAATCTCCATCAAAGATTATAGTGGAATCTTTGTCTGGTAAAACACATGCTATAATTTATATGCTCTCCGTTATGCTGCCATAGAACATGATGTACTTCTTCTTACAACAGTATTGCTAAATATCCTGGCAAGATTTTACTCTGAGATAAGACTCCAAAACAGCACTGTTTATACCTGGGACATACCAGAGCAAATTTGTCTCTTTTAAAATCTCTTTGCTATGTCTTCTCCAAGATTTTCTAAGTTTATCACACTGTGCCATACATCTTAAAACGATTATATTTATTTTAAACTTATAATTACTGAAAGAAGAGGAGGAGGAGGAGGAGGAGGAGGAGGAGGAGGAGGAG